AAGGAAGGAAGGAAGGAAGGAAGGAAGGAAGGAAGGAAGGAAGGAAGGAAGGAAGGAAGGAAGGAAGGAAGGAAGGAAGGAAGGAAGGAAGGAAAACTAGCAGCTTTACAGGTAACCCCATCGAAGAAATATGTTGCCTCCAAGATCCAAATAGGCCTGCTAAGCACTGTGCCTGTTTTAGAGGGGAGTAGGTTGTATGAAGTACAACTTGTCTTTCACCTTAGAGGAGATATCTGTATGTACTCGAGACCACTGAATCCCCGGACACTTGATGCAGGTGGTGGGTTCTGAAGTCTTGTGGGGTTTGTCTCTCACCTTCTAGTTTGCATATGTCTTACTAAGCCGTGAAAGTGTTACTTGTTATTTCCTGCTCGTCAGATCCAATAACATCAACATAGTGACAAGATGATCAAGATCTCTGAAGACTGTATTATGGCAGAGCAGAACTGACAGGTTTGAAGCAACCTGAAGATATATGGTTGCTTTGCCAGCTGAAAGCAAACTGTTTCTGGGAGATGCTACATTTGGTATGGAGGAAAAGCCAGGTTGATAGCTGCATGCCACATGCCAGGGGCATACTGATTTGCTCCAAGAAAGATACTGTATCTGGGAACAGCAGCTACAATTGGAGTCACCATCTGATAAAGTTTATGATAGTCCACAGTCATTCTCTCAGATGCATCTGACGTCTTCACAGGCCAAACTGCTGGGTTAAATGGGTATGTGATAGGTGTCATCACTCTTGCTACTTTTAATTTTTTGGTGGCAGCATTAATCTCTGTGCTTCCCTCAGGAATGTGGTATTTCTACTAGTTTATATTCTCTATAGGGAGGGGAAGTTCCAGAGGCTTTCACTTAGCTTTTCCTGTCATATTGGCCTTCAGTCTATCATTCAGAGAGCCTATGTGGGGATTCTGACACTATGTCAGTTTTCGCTTTTTTTTTTTTTATTTGACGTATCATCCTTGCACAGGGGTCTATGTCAGTTTTCGCTTTTTTTTTTTTATTATTTGATGTGTCATCCTTGCACAGGGGCCATGCTAATCTTCTTTGTATCGTTCCAATTTTAGTATATGTGCTGCTGAAGCAAGCACACTATGTCAGTTTTCAATCAGTTGTCTCAACTCTAAATGTCACCCTCTGATACCTGCTCTAAGATTAACAGGCTGGACTTATGCGTTTCTCCTTGCAAATAACTTGATGTTATGCTTTGTTTGTCAGTAGAGGGCGCTGGAGGGACACCGGAAGAAGAAGGGATGCTCTTCCTGGTTCTGGTCCTGTTAGGTTTCATTTTTCTTACTCTTGCTGCACAGTTTTTCAGGGGCAGATCCCGGTGGTTCTCTGCCCTAGATTCATGTCCAGAGTGAAAGTCCTTGGAGGGGCTCAGAGACCCCAGTTTGCAACCACTTTGCCACATTCCCTCCCCCATTGTGGACACCACAAATCCCACACCACATGCTGCCTTTGCAGTGACTCTTGGCACTTGGACTGTTTTTGCACACCCACCACTGGTCCTGACCCTCATGCGGCTTTCTCTAGCACTGAAGTCTGGCAGAGCAAGCTTCTCCAGTACTTGACTTATGTAGCAGTCTAGTTTTCTCCAGCACTGTGTTCTCACCACGTGCACTTTCACTAACAGGTAGAAAGCATGGCTTTCTCCAGCACTTGCTTCCTGTATGGGTACAGCTTCCTCAGGCACTGGGCTCTTGCTGAGCCTACATGCTCTTGTGCTTGACTCCTCTAACAGCCTGCCTCTCATAGTTACTTTTGCCTGGTATATCTTGTTACTCCTTTTACTTACAAACTATTTCTCTTTGACTAGAAAGATGGCAATACAGTCATGTGTTGGTTAACAGTGGGGATACATTTTGAGAAATGTGTCATGGGCGATTTTGTCATTGTGCAGACATCATGGAATGTAGTTACACAAACCTAGATGGTATAACCTGCTACTACAAGTCTAGACTATATGATACAGATGATTGCTCCTAGGCTGCAGATGAGTACAGCATGTTACTGTCCTGAGTACTGTAGGTGATACATACATATATATGTATAATACTGTAACATGACGGTAAGTATTTGTATATTTAAACACAGAAAAGGTACAGTAAAAATACAGCATAAAAGATAAAATGGTATGCCACACTTGTATGCCATGGTAAGTACCTAGGGCACTTAACAGGAATGGAGCCTGCAGGCCTGGAAGTTGCCCTAGATGAGTAAGTAAGTCAGTAGTGAGTGAATGTGAAGGCCTAGGACATTATGGTACACCACTATAGGCTTTATGAATGCTGTATATATAGGCTACACTAAATTTACAAAAAAAATATTTTTTCTTCAGTAATAATTTTAGCTAACTGTAACCTTTGGTGCTAAAGTAATTGTGGTTTCAGACCATGAATTTTAAGTCATTATAACTAGGCTCAAACACATCTTTATTAATCAAAATAGGAACCATTACAATCATCAACACATTTTTTTCCAATGAGAAATAAGTATGTTTATTCCTGTAGCGTAAAAATCTGTGCTTTGGGATTCAGCAAACTCTTGGAAAGCATTTTCTGCACCCTGCTGGCTGTGGAAACATTTTTCCTGCAAAAAGCTGTTGGGATGCTTGAGGAAGTGGTAGTCAGTTGGCAAGAGGTCAGGTGAATATGGCAGATGAGGTAAAACTTCATAGCCCAATTCGTTCAACTTTTTTCCTTTTTTTTTTTTAAAGAGTCGGGGTCTCGCTATGTTGCCCAGGCTGGAGTGCAGTGGCTATTCACAGGCGCAATCCCACTACTGATCAGCACAGGAGTTTTGACCTGCTCTGTTTCCGACCTGGGCCGGTTCACCCCTTCTTAGGCAACCTGGTGGTCCCCCACTCCTGGGAGGTCACCATAATGAAGCCAAACTTAATATGGACACCCAATCGGCAGAGCACACTACAGCCCAGAACTCCTGGACTCAAGCAATCCTCCAGCCTCAGCCTCCCAAGTAGCTGGGACTACAAGCATCGTGCCCAGCTGGTCTCGAACACCTAACCTCATACTCCCAAAGTGCTGGGATTATAGGTGTGAGCCATGGTACCCGGCTCCAACTTTTGAAGCGTTGGTTATGTGTTGGTTGTGCAATGTGCAGTTGTCGTGGGGAATAGGCCCTTTCTGTTGACCAATGCTGCTGCAGGCCTTGCAGTTTTTGGTGCATCATCTCATCAGTTTGCTGAGCATACTTCTCTGATGTAATGGTTTTCACTGGGATTCAGAAAGCTGCAGTGGATCAGACCAGCAGCAGACTGCCCAACAGTGACCATGACCTTTTTTTGGTGCAAGGTTGGGTTTTGGAAGTGCTATGGAGATTCTGCTATGGAGTCCAGCCACAGAGCTGGTTGTTGTCAGTTGTCATATAAAATCCACTTTTTGTCTTACATCACAATCTGATCAAGAAATGGTTCATTGTCATTGCGTAGAATAAGATGACACTTCAATACAACAATTTTTTTGATTTTTGGTCAGCTCATGAGGCACCTGCTTATCGAGTTTTTCACCTTTCCAGTTTGCTTCAAATGCTAAATGGCCATAGAATGGTTGAGTTCCTTGGCAACTTCTCATGTAGTTTTAAGAGGGTCAGCTTCAGTGATTGCTTTCAATTGGTCATTGTCAACTTCCAATGGCCAGACACTATGCTCTTCATCTTCAAGGCCCTCCTCTTCTTTGCAAAACTTCTTGAGCCACCACAGTACTGTACGTTCATTAGCAATTCCTTCGCCAAATGTGTTGTTGATGTTGCGAGTTGTTTCCACTGCTTTATGACCCATTTTGAACTTGAATAAGAAAATCGCTCGAATTTGCTTTTTGTCTAACATCATTTCCATAGTCTAAAATAAACGTAAAATAAACAGCAGTAATAAGTCATTAAAAAATAAAGTGAGAAATGCCCTTTAAAATGATGTATAACATAACCAAATTTATTTAAGAATGTATTCCAGGTCAGGCACAGTGGCTCATGCCTATAATCCCAGCACTTTGGGAGGCCGAGGGAGGCGGATCATGAGGTCAGGAGTTTGAGACTAGACTGGCCAATATAGTGAAACCCCTTCTCTACTAAAACTACAAAAGTTAGCCAGGCATGATGGCACTCACCTGTAGTCCCAGATACTCAGGAGGCTGAGGCAGGAGAATTGCTTGAACCTGGGAGGCAGAGGTTGCAGTGAGCCGAGATCACACCACTGCACTCCAGCCTGGGCAACAGAGCGAGATTCCGTCTCAAAAAAAAAAGAAACAAAAAGAATATTCCAAAACCAAATGGCAAATTCCAACAATTACTTTTGCATTCACCTAATAACTTTATTACTTTTTTTTTTTGAGACAGAGCCTCACTTTGTCACCCAGGCTGGAGTGCAGTGGTATGACACTGGCTCACTGCAACCTCTGCCACCCCAGTTTGGTGATTCTCCTGCCTCAGCCTCCTGAGTAGCTGGGATTACAGGTACATGCCACCACACCTGGCTATTTTTGTATTTTTAGTAGAGATGGGGTTTCACCATATTGGTCAGGCTGGTCTCGAACTTCTAACCTCAGGTGATCCACCCGCCTTGGCCTCCCAAAGTGCTCAGATTACAGGTGTAAACCACCTTGCCCAGCCAAACTTTTTACATTTTTAAACTTACTGGCTCTTTTGTCAGTAATCTTATTAATAAGCGTTATTACACTTAGCTTACAGTACACATTGTACAGCTGTAAAAAAATATTTCCTTTCTTTATATCCTTATTCTAGAAGCTTTTTCTATTTTATTTAATTAAATAATTAATTTTTTTTTGAGGTGAAGTTTCCCTCTTGTTACCCAGGCTGAAGTGCAATGGCACGATCTTGGCTCACCGCAACCTCCGCCTTCCGAGTTCAAGCGATTCTCCTGCCTCAGCCTCCCGAGTAGCTGGGATCACAGGCATGCACCGCCATGCCTGGTGAATTTTGTATTTTTTTTTTTTAGTAGAGACAGGGTTTTTCCATGTTGGCGAGGCTGGTCTTGAACTCCTGATCTCAGGTGATCCCCCCACCTAGGCCTCCCAAAGTGCTGGTATTACAGGCATGAGCCACTGCACCCAGCCAACTTTTTCTATTTTAAAAAGTATATTTTTCAATATTTTAAACTTTTCGTTAAAAACTAAGGCACACATACACACACACACATTAGCCTAGCCTACACAAGGTCAAGATCATCAAGATCACTGTCTTCCACCACTACATCTTGCCCCACTGGAAGGTCTTCAGAGGCAGTAACACACATGAAGCTGTCATCTTCTATGATAGCACATTCTTCTGGAATCCCTCCTGTAGGACCTGCCTGAGGCTCTTCTTGAGGGACTATCACTCTTTCAGAAAATGTTCATGGTGGTTTGCTTGGTTTCATTCTTTCTGTTTTAAATCATACATTTGCTTGTAAACAGATAATGCACCATGAACATATCTTTCTATTAATGAAAACCTTTCAGTGTTGGGGTCCATGTTTTTAGCATTTTAAGGAGTTTGTTGAGGTCTGCAGCGGTTTCTGCTAAACCCTTGACTGTGAATTTTCTTCTGGGTTTTTCTTCTCCTGCAGTTTCTTTTTTCTCTTGCCTCTTCAGCTATGTGTTCCTGTTCCTGTTCCAACATCTCCTCGTTAGTCAGTTCCTCAGGAATTACCTGTAGGTGCTCTACCATGTCATCCTCTTCCACACTCAGGTTAAAATTATTTACCACCTCAACCAAGGTTTATTGATTTTTGACACCTCCTCATCCTTGACAAACACTTTGAAGTCATGGACCAACCTTTTGAGTGTCTTCTTCTGGATGGCATTCATACTGCATGGTGACATCACCCCAAGTCTAAGCAGGCTTCTTGATGCAGTCTTAGACATGTTGTAATCCTTCCAGAATTGTCTGTGTCTTCTTCAGCTGCAGCAATCACCTGGGCAAAGGTCCTCCTCAGGTAATAGGCCTTAAAAGCTGCTACACCTCCTTGATCCATTAGTTGAAACAAAGAGGTGGTGTTTGGAGGGGAAAGCAGCATTTAGATATTGGGATGAATATCACCAGTAAAAGGAGGATATACAGGAGCCTTATCAACAAT